ATAAAACTTAAAACGTAACCATTATTTTCCGAGCAAAAAATAAAACTCAGTTAATAACGATTAAAAAGTGATTTTTATAATAAAACTTATAACCGTTACGGTCCCTGTTTAAAACGAAGAATGTTTAGTCTAAAATGGACACGGCCACGCGAAGTGATCGGTCAATATTAGGTGTAAATGCTCAATTAATTATAAAAACGGAAATCGTAATATATATGTACACTTGCTATGGTTGAACTAAAAAAAAAAACATACTGCACAAAATTTGCAGTTGGAAATTCAAAATATACTTAAAAGATTTCGAAATAAACATTAAACAAATATACAGTGAAAGCTCTCATAGACGGACGCTCTAATAAGCGGACATCTATAAGCGGACACATTCTTGGGAACGAACAATTTTTGGCTTTTTTCCATACAAAATGCTCTCCCATACACGGACATTCCGATAAACGGATGCGGACACTCAAAAAAGTCCAGTTTTGAAAAAACAATCTCCCATAACAAGCCGCGAAGTTCTAACAAGCAGTCAATTTTGTTTTTTTTTCTGTCAGATGCTGCCTCTTGCGGTTGTACATATGTATATGTACCCAAGAACATAGTCCATATTCAAAGATATTTTCTTTTCTAGAAAAATTTTGGCCTTTTCGTTGCCCTCTTCATGCTGCTTGAGTGAAGCGGGAAAGGAGATTTGTCGGTAGGAAAATTTTAAATTATTTTAAATTCATCCTGTTTCTGTCTATTAAAGAATAAATATTATTTTAATCAAGAAACCCGCAATTTAAGTTTTTTAAGTTTGATTTTTAATGTTATTTTTTACGAAATACCCACAAAAAGTAGTAGTAGAGAAGAAAGTAACGAAAGTACATGCCATTATGCACAAAGTATTACGGATGGAATCGTGTACGAAAACGTAGTATCAATAAAATGTGCTGCCCACACACTTCAATTGGCAGTAAAGGACTTTTTAGCTGACCAAAATCTAAACTTAATTAAAAAAAATGGCGAATTAGCTAAGCTGTTGATGTTTCCTTCATTACGGTAGATTTTGTCAATCCAAAAATAAATTTTGTTTCCTCTTTATATAAGTATGAATATTTTTTTACTGTTTTTATTCTTACAGCTCAATAGTACATATAGTACAATTGAAAACCAAGGACTACCGAAACCTCAATTGGACGTTCCAACACGATGTAGCTCGACATTTATAATGCTTAAGGGTGTTATTCAATTGAAGGAGTTCTGTCTAGACAATGAAACCTTAACCAGGCAATTGTAAACTGAGGAATGGGATCAAATAGAAACCATTGTATCTGTTCTTGCTCCAGTGCACATCTTGACCCTACGTTTGCAAAGTAGTCAACAGCTATTAGATGACTTTTATAAAGCATGGTTGCAGATGTTGCTTGAGTGGCAGTCGGAACAGAGTGAAAGCAGTAAAATTCTTGTCGACCGCATTAAGTTAAGGCTTTAATGGAAATTGATACTATGTATTCGGTCTTGTTCCTGGACCCCAGGTTCAGACGTGTTTTGTCAAGAGAAAAAATGGAACGGGCGAAAGAAACATTGAAAAACATTATACTTTAAATCCATAATGTTGAACAGGTACTAACTATTTATTATACGTGGCAACGACGCATATTGCTTCCTGTGTAGCATTGTTGCTCATTGAAATTAATGTTTCATGTTGCCGGTTAATTAAAATATTTTGATATTTTTTAAAGGTTTCCGTATCGGTTACCTCGTGTATATCGTTGTGTAATACTTTGATCGAATTAGTTCGTTATAAACACTGCTCAAAGCTCATTGTAAGGGCGGTGTTTATACCTTTCATGGGAATGGAAGGGTACTATAACTTTCCGATGCTTCTAAGTACAAGAAGAAGAGATAATCCTTCAGAAAAGTATACCTAAATAATATAATAATAATAATATAATATATTGATAATATAATGTAATATAATATAATATAATATAATAATAATATAATATAATAATAATATAATATAATAATATTATAAGATAATAATATAATATAATAATAATATAATATAATAATATATCTTTGCGATATGAATTATATCGCAAAATGCAACCCTTCTGCGTAGTTTTCG